ATCCACTGTGACATATGATCTCAGTTTTTACGGTCTTATCCGAAGGACCGGTATCAACGTCCAACAGTAGTTTCTCTTATGAATTTAATGTATTTCATATGATCTCTCATAAATAGAACTTCGTTTTATACCAAAAACTATTTTACAATATGCTATCATACTTTTCCATGACATCAGCAAATTGTCCTCAGCAACGAAGCATTGAAAGATATTTTAGCCCATACTGATTGAAGTTTTTAAAAGATCGTCTGATTGTATATAATGGAATTGCTATTGCTATAGGTCATAATTTGCAGCACTCCATCGGCAAATGGTTGCGTCTTCATATGAGTGAAAAATTATTTAGAAGTCTATTTAGCTACATCGACAAATAAACATTATATTTCTTTTTCTCATTAAACATGGTATACTTAAATGATTATTTAATTATTAAAGTAAATAACTAGTTACATGTATAACTAGACTTGTTAGTTTTACTTTATCGAAAGTTAGCTAGTTATCTCGTAAAAATTTAATTACTGTTGTAACGTAGTTAGTTGATTGGATAAAAGAAATTTTTATAACTTATTAGGATAACATATGTTGCCTACATCCCAAAATGTATTATTCTGCTTGACTTTACTTTAAAAAAAAACTTTTTGAAAGTGTCCTATTGTTGTCACTTAATGACGGAGAATTAATAACGAATGCCTAAGTTATACATGTACTAGTATATACTGTAGAAGTGGAAAACATTACGGTGTTTTTAATTTCACTATGTTCACGATTCAAGAATTTCCGCGAACTTTAAACCATCGTGATTATTTCACGTCACTTCTGCCTAGAAACAGTCATAGTACCTGAATATTTACAAACGATTCTCCGTGAAATTAAAACCACCGTGAAAGGTAACTTTCTAGCAAACCGTGAAATTTTAGACACGTGAAATTAAAGACGTCTACAGTAACTAGGTTGTAACATTTAACGCTTGTTTTAATAACTCCTTTGCTGTTTATAAAGCGTAAAATGTCCCAATCCAGGTTATTCAGTATATCATCTAGGTAGCTATTATTTATTTCTTAAAGAGGCTTGGGGTGGTAGCCATTTTCAGACTATTTCGATCTCCTTTAAAAGAAAAGCTCCATATAAAGATATACAAAAATGATCAAATTTTAAAACTAAAATGTATGAATTTTTTCTTTGCCAAATGATAGTTGAAAGCTTGAGGTACCATATCTAAAAAATAAGTTAAGAGGGCTGGGGGTCAATAAATTAACCACCAGATTTAACTTATTTTTTTAAGATACGACATCTTTGGCTGTCAACTATCATATGGCAAAGAAAAAGTTCATACCTGACTTTAGTTTTAAAATTTGATCATTTTTGTATATCTTTATCTGGAGCTCTTCTTTTAAAAGAGATCAAAATAGTCTTAATTTGTTGACCCCCAGCCTCCTTAAATAATGAAATAATTAATCCATCAAAATGAATTTCCTACATTGGTTTTATTACGAGCTTGTAGCATATAATAATAATTTTCAAAGAGTTAGTGCATGTATGGCTCGTTTCAACAACATAATGTAGTATATTATCTTGTAAAAAGTTTCACGAGTTAACAAAATAGAAACAAAGCAAATGCGTATCTCCTATATATCCGAGGTTGGATCAGGTTCAATAGAGGAGCGAGCATCCCTTATCAACCAGTCACGCCTGCCGTGTTCTCAGTGTAATGTTCGGGAAAGAATGGAAACATCACAATCCAGTGCGTGAATAATTGCCTAACAATCACATAGGTTTTGTTATGTTTAATGCACTTATGACTTCAAATACTGTTTGTTTTATCCACATGTCACGTTACATCTGTAGTTATCTCAATCAAAGGCCTGAATGGCCTGCAAATTGACTCGCTCGAGTTCATTGAGCTTTTTCATACATCTGGACACCATACCTTTCAGTTTATTTTGTATCTTAAGAGATTGAATATTATTTGTCTCCATGTTCGCTTCAATAATAAAGTGTATATATATATTGCATTTCTTTTATATATATCGGTTGAAACTAATGGGTTTCCGTACATATTGTGAAAAGCAGCACTGCAAACCTAGATTCTATTATGAATTTAAGCATACTAGCTGCAGTGGTCAGTGTTATGGAATAACTAATTTAAAGATTCCCACAGCAAATCTGGATTCTAAAAATAGATTTTTCAAGTACACTTGCATCAAGACATAAATAATGTAACAGTATGTAATTTTTAAACAGTTTTTACCTACTAAGTTTACACAATTACTAAAACAAAAGCATTTTGCTAGAACTATCATATTTGGCGTATGGATAACCTTGATGAATGTGTGATAAATTTTACAGTTCTGAAAAGGCTGCGTCAACAAGGAGTAGCTCGCTAAGCGAGCCAACGCAAAAAAATTATCTCGTTATTCGGGTGACACTAGTTTCACTGCAAGGAGTTTATTTATTTGTGTTTTTCGTCTTAGCCAATGTTGATAGCTGTGCGTACAATGTTATCAGCCTGTTAAGAAACCGTCAAGTTGAACGGCTTAAAAATCAAAACGGTTTTATTTCAGATTTAGAGTGTATGAAATGATTATGATAGTCTACTGTATTAATAGCTGTTTTGGTAGTAAGGTGGCGATTAAACAGGTGGCAGGACGAATTACTCAATCTTAACCTGACTCCGTTTTTCATCAATTTCAACGTCACGGTTTGCTGGAAACCATTTCAGACTCTCTCTGACAATGGCTAACACGTTCTTATTGTAGGAAAAATGTAGGAAACTGCCCAATTATCCACCGGTGTCTTTGTTCTTACTTAAGCATTTCGAAAAACAGACATCATGGAACTTCCGTATATTGTATAAATTTAAGATTGCAAGAAATTCATATCGTTTGTAAATTTGAAAAACAATGTACTGTAAACCTAAGGTACATCAAATGGTACAAAAAAAATTGTTGACAAATTCGTCGTCATCTATTTGCAGGTGTTTTGGGCTTTGAGGCATTTTGCTTATGTGACTTAGGATAGTAACTAACATTCTCATCTGATCAATTTTCATAATTTTCGATCATGCATCAAAAGAATTTTGAATATTATGCTACCCTGCTAATCTTTTTCCTTACAGTATTCATAAACCAGAGCTTTTTTGCATTTATAGTTTTGAACATAAACAACGTCAAATAATATGCCTCGTAAGACGTCTAATTATTTTTTCATGCAAGAAAAACAGCACGAAAAATATCAAAACATTTTACCTGCTCTTTGAAAAATAATGTTTGGGAATCTTATGCAATTTTTGGACAAGCTATATCATTTGATTAATTAGACTTTTTACATCTAGTGTGTGTGTGTATGTTAAATTAAATAATATGTAAATTAATGATGAATGGACAAAGTTATTGATGAATGGACAACTTAATTGTATGCATAAATAAGTGCTGGAAATAAACGACTTCTAACAAATGTTGAGATGTAAGCATTGGTAATAAGGACAACTACTTTTACTGGCAAAATAGTCCATTCAATTTTAAAATCTTTTGAACTCTCTTCATAATATCTGATTAACAGACTATTATCAAAATTAGTGGACTAGATCTAACTTCTGTAGCATTTGCATTATTGAAATGTTTGTACAGGATACATAAAAGTGTACTGAGTGTCCTATGTCCATATTCTTGTTTATCACAAAACGTTGTTTTTTTTCCTAGACTCCAATATGCATATATATTGTAATATATACATTTGTAGTATCTCTCCATTATATAAACATACAGAGAGAAAATATCTTCAATTCCGTGTATGAAGTTTGTCAGTAGTCAGAGGTCAATACGTGACCTAATCACACGGAGCAATAATATCTACCGTTACATAAATTATTAAAAATGACCTACTCTAGATGTACTTGCTTTTCATCTAAGAAAATGAACAAAATAAGCAAGTAAAATGATGATTATTTTATTTAAAATGTAAACAAGTATTTCATACAGTTTTGGGGCTATCGATTCAACCTGTGTACATAGAAAAAACTAGGAGCCTAGCGTTTGTTTACATTTTACTTCACTTTTGTCAGTTGCACAGTCTCTAATGTTCATCCTTATTTTTTGGGTAGACCTTTGTTTAAATTTTCATGATAAAATTTTATTTCATCTTTAAATTTTACTCACGATATACGTGTAAATCTATTGAAAAATATTATTGCAATCATTCCATGAACAGCTGCCAAACACCTCAGCGTTTTCGTAGTTCAATGTAAATCTGTCGCCAGTGTCTCCGTGTTTATCAGTGTTTTACGATAAGTATGCCTTTAGTTACTGAAACCGTAGAATGTTTTTGATCAAATTGCAAATTAACCGGGTCGGACAAGTGTCTCAATCCATCGGATCCATTCATCCCTTTCCGGCGACCGAGATTCCTCCAACTTTTAATCATCAAACTTCAGACGTGTTTCCTGTGTCTTTTCAGCATCAATTATCATTTTCCACGAATAAAAATATTTCCAGACAACAATCTGTTCACTACTACTGATCACAAGTACCCTTTCACAAAATATTAACTTCGAAATAGATTCCTTTGCCTAATGCATTCGAAGCGTAACCGCCATGCAAGCCGATTTACACCTTGCGTCATTTTTCAAAATCTACGACGGACGGTTAGTGCAATAATTCGAATTCGAAAATATTCAATTGTCTTTCTCAAATGTATATATAAGTAATAAATAACAAGTTTATAAACTTTAATGGGAATTGAAGTGGGTCGGTACGTGATCAAATCAGGTGAACGACCCACTTCAATTCCCATTGAAGTTTATAAACTTGTTATTTATTTCTTAATTTCAGTAACACATCTAATCATAAAAGATAGGGACAGACATCCTCATAAATTTAAAAAAAAATTCAAATTTACAGTTTTGGATCAATTCAATAGAAAACAGAAAAGTCAGTACATATAAATAAACAATACACAAATCATTTTTACATAATGCACATAGAGAATAAAAACATGTACCTATCTCATGTATCTGTCAAAATGTAGTTTTGTCTGTCTATGTATCTATACACAGACACTATATCAGTACATTCTGATGATCCATGTCCTACATAAAGAAGATGAGTTTTGTGATCATAGGCCAGACCATACAGCTCGTGTATACGCCCTGGTTTGGTCAACAGGAATGACAAGAAATGACCATCCTTGTCAATCATCTGTACAGTGTCAGTGAGGGTATCGACCACCAGGATGTGTGACAAGGCGTCTGTACAGATTCCTTCAGGTTGTAGTCTTTGTCGCAGTCCTGATCCTGATGGAGGTCCAATGTAAGAGAACCGATATGTGCCTCGAGAGTCAACTACTACTACAGCATTGAAAGTATAGTCTGATATAATGGTATCTCCATTGCAATTTTTTGCAAGGTACTTCGGATCTCCAAATAAAATTTTACTCTTTTGGTCAGATCGTATAGGTATGATTTTTTCCTCATTACGGTCACACCGAAATACAATGCCTGTATATGTATTGTTTTTTAAAAACCTCATCCCAAGAAGTATATCTCCAGAGGAAGCACATCTGTGGAGACAGGTGGGTCTAAAGGAAGCCTTCCTCCTAAATATGACCATTGTTTTGCTGTTTGTTTGAATTTTGATATCTCCTTTGGTGTCAATATAAGTAAGTTTTCCATTATTTGAAACTGCATGCACACCCCCAGTTGCAGCTTTGTCTGTAACTTTTTTAAGAGTTTCACCCGAGTTGTCTGTCAATGTTAAGTTGTTCCAATCACTGACCCAGAATTTATCTGGTGTCACAATAGAAATATGACGACCATAACTGATATCTTTGACTTTTACTGACCTTTTTAACACAGGTTTAGACATCATTTTCAGCAACTGTTCATTAACTCTTTCTGATTTCGTGACTTCACTTTGGGTTTCTTTTAAAAAAAGACTCACATTATCTTTGTTTAAACCCTCGTTTAATGTGAAAAGAGGTACTTGTTTTATCATTTCAGTTTCTTTGATCTTATTGAAGAAGCGTTTCTTGTACAATAAAAGGAATTGTACAGGTCTGTACAGTAAATGCTCACTTCGGTGTTCACAGTATTCAGATTTAGCAAGAAATGTATTTAGTTTGGATTTCGGGTGTTGCAGATTTTGAAACAAAATGAGGCTGCTTTTCATTTTTTCATTTAACAACACAGTATCAGTTAGATCTTTTAGTCTTGTAGCTTTTAAGGACATTGCTGTTTGAATACCTGATATTTTAGTCTGTATGTTTTAATGTGATTCTGAATCACTGAAATGACACTATAGTTCTTAAACAGAAACTCGCTTCTGATTTTGTGAATGGTTTCTCTGTGTTGCTCTCTGGTTTTTCTATAAGCAGCTTCAAGATCCAGCTTTTCGTGATTTCTGTGTTCTATACACTGATTACAGACAGGACGTTCACAAGACTGACAGTGCATTTCATAGATCATATCTGGATGTCTCCCACAAGCCTCGGCTTTTTTGAAGTTTACGAATTTTTCTCTGTATACCACTACATCATGGTACACTGTGTCTAGATCAATGAGGTGTTTCTCTTTACACAGTAGACAAAGGTTACTTTCACATGTTTTGCAGTAGAATTCTGTGTCCCCATTACAAACAGAACAAGTCCGTACAATACACTGTCTGCTGAAATCTTCCATATCAAGGGCGTTGCAAGTCAAACTGTATAAAATATAAATTATTTATTTTACTGTGTATGTACTGTTTATGAATTGTTGTAATTTAATACAAATAAATAGTCTTTAGATGTGAGATTGAAAGATGCCATAATTAAAGGATATGTCCAATCAAGAACTTATTTTATTTAAGAAAATTACATTGTATTTTCATAAAAAAACTCCAGTAAAATAAATATTTGTTTCTGCTCCCTGTGGACATGAAAAAGACTAGAAGTGATCTATTATTTTATTATATACCCATCAATTTTCTTGTTTTGTTTTTTTTTTTTTTGTTTAATTTTACTGAGATTGATCCGATTTTCCGGATCACTATACTGTGGTTTTCTGAATCCATATCACCACTCTCTGAAACTGATGACGTAGTACGCAAAAACATGACGTTATTTTTCTTGCGCGTTAAAAAGTCCCTTGTCATTAAGCTTTGTTTTATGGATAAATATTATACAATTGATCTCTAAGGTTTTAGAGTTCTGCTATATTTAGCTAGTTATAAGGGGGTATACAATAAATTTATCATTATAACAGTAACTTGATCCGAAGAGCCGTATCACGTCTCGTTGACAGGCTTTTATCATCAGATCAAACTCGACGCTTCGCGTCTCCTTAGATCTGATGATCCGCGCCTGTCAACTCGACGTGATATGACCCTTCGGATCAAGTTACTGTTATAATGATATATATGTCTCATTAAGAATTATTGGGCATGTTAACTTTTGGAAGCTTACTTCTCCTTGGCATCTCTTTTACCTCTCAAGTTTTCGGGGCCAAGTTTTGCCTAGTTTGTTCTACGAGCATATGCATGTAACATGTGTACTCCAAAGCTGCATGATGTAAGAACATCTACATGTGTCCTTAGAGAAATGATTACATATTGATCATCATTGATTTACTTTCTTAATATCTAGTATAACAGGTCGAGAAAATAAATTTCTGTGACATAACTTTAAATTTCGAAAGAGCAAGTTTTCCAATTTGCTCTCAGAAATAAGACATGTTGCATTTCCCCAATCACTTTACACAACTAAAACAATATTTAAGTCATTATCTACTGATTCCATGCTAAGATTTTAAAATAAATGTCTAACAATGGTAAAGTTCGCTTTGCTATCTCCCCTCCGTTGTCTGACAGCCTTCCCCGTGCTTGAGTTTCCCGCAGTCATTTGAAATCACTGACTAAATTTGCCTGAACTACGTTTTTGTAGTAAAATGTAAGCATGTAGTAAACCAACATGGTTTTCGGCTCATTCATTGGATTGGACCATTGCTCGCTATATTCACTGCTGTGCGCAAAGAAAATAATATACATGCGAGAAATATTCTTCGATCTGTTAGAAAAACTGCCTTGATACATGTTTTAGACTTGAGACTCCCTCTAATTGCATGTACTGCAAAACATCCATTTAATGCTGTCTCTCGATTTAGTGAAGCAAATCCTGTGCAGAACAAAAGCACAAAAAGAACATAAAATTAGATGAGATCTCGTTGCGAGCAAGGAGTAGATGTTCCCTCCGATTTTTCGATAAGATGAGATATGATTTTGAATATGATCTTTGTTACATCATAATATTATCAAGACTTCACTCTTATGATTAAATTCTTTTGATTTATATAACATTATTAAATAGTTAAAGATGAAAGTCAGAAATTTCTTTTCGCTTAATTTCGAGCTTCGTAGAATAGAAAAAATTAGGGACCAGCTCCTTACATCCTTTAAAATCAGACGACCCGTTTCTAAAATATATGTTATGTATCTCTTGGTATAATATTAAAAATATTTCAGATTTGTCATTCTTTTCTGATACCTACAGTGCATTGTTTTCAAAAATTTTTTTAAATATAAGTCCAAAAAAATATTGATAAAGGCCATTCAGAAGATTACCCTGTTTTATAAGAAATATGATCCTGTGGTATCTTGTCTCAATGGCTAGTAAGGTATCCTATTTTTTTTTAACCTGTTTAAGTACCTAGACTTCAAAAACAAATTCCTAGGAAACATTTTATTTTTTGAGGAACGTGTCGTCTGACCTTAAAGAAAGGCTTGGTAGGTTTTACATTTTAACATAGTTCGCTAGTCATTATAATTACGAGTGATATACAGCACAGCTACTATCTCTCTTGCTGATAAGAGATATTACTAAAAATAGCTTAGTTTACACCTGTGAGCTCGCACAGAAATTAGCTGTTTACCGGAAGTGACGTGTATGACGCCACAAGTGTGACATGCAGAATATTGTATAGTCTAAAATGAAGAGCGAACTTACGAAAGCACAATGAGCTCATTTTCGTAGGTAAGAAAAAAAAATTTTTTCGCGTTATCACGCTTTACTTTCGCGTTATAACGCGAAACTTTCGCGAATAAACGCGTAACTTTTGCGTTATAACGCATAACTTTCGCGAATAATCGCGAAACTTTCGCGTTATAACGCGTAACTTTCGCGAATAAACGCGTAAATTTTGCGTTATTTCGCGAAAAAATATGATGCGAGAATAGAATAGATTAGTCATTAGAATATTTTATTTTATTTTAAAATCTTACTATTGAATGAATTTTACTTTCTTGTAATTTTTTTTTACTGTTAAATTCTTTAGACTGATTATTTCTCAAGGAAAATCTCCACTTGACATTTTTTCTAGCTGTTTTTTAATCAGTAACATTTACTACAACTGTACCACAAGTCAATTAAGCAATCAATCATTTTGGACAAAAAATTATACACTGTAGAAAGATAAGTGAATGAACAATGTATAATTTCATTGTCTCCAATATTTTTATATTGGGTTATAGAGAAGTTCGTGGACTAGCCACAAATAAAAAACTATGAAGGTATACAGCAGAGTTTGTACACTTTGAATTGTCCATGTTTTCGTAAGCAATGAAATGACAGACGTGGTGCAACCTCAAAATAAGATATCGAATTTCCACAGTGAATCCAACGGAGACAAATGAAAATCTGCTATCCAATTTTCACAAATACGCTGGGACACAATTGACAAATTTACCTCATTTTGTCAATTTTCTGAGATCTTGATCTCTATAAAATAAAATTATTTCAAATTCTCTAGAGTGCATAAAAAAAACCGGAAAGCGTTGATTTTCCCCAAAATTATTAATCTTGAAGTTAAACTTTTGGAAAACTCGCATAAACTTTGAATTGTTTAAACAGCGATGAGAAAGACAAATTGTGACGGTAAAGATGGATTCAATATCAAGAAAGCTTTAACATTTAACTTGTGATAGTCCAAGATCGAAATAGCCTTTTGCTTAACATTGTAATGAATAAAATTGATGACAAATCAAAAAAACGTTGAGACTAAAGCAAATGTCTGTTTAAACAGCAAAAGTTTCGCGTTTTAACGCGAAAGTAACGCGTTATATCGCGAAAGTAACGTGTAATATCGCGAAAGTTTCGCGTTATAACGCGTAAGTTTCGCGTTATATCGCAAAGTTTCGCGTTATAACGCGAAAGTAACGCGTCATAACGCGAAAGTTTCGCGTTTATTCGCGAAAGTTTCGCGTTATAACGCGAAAAATTTATTTTTCTTACATACGAAAATGAGCTCATTGGGCTTTCGTACGAACTAGCATTAGGTCATGTAAAATTTTAAAATTAAACGCATGCAGGCAGTACATTAGTTTTATTTTCTGATTACTAGGCCTAATTTCATTTCTAGCCAAAACAGTAAAGTTCCGGACTACATGTTTAAATATTGTAAAATGTAATTTAAATGGTTTGATTACCCCCCCCCCCCTCACCCAACACCCTCCCCCCCCCCCCCAATTTTTTTTGGATGCGCAAGATTTTTATCACTTTGGAAAAGGAAGCCTGTCAAAGATTAATACCGATTTTTTTCTTTATTCTCTCTTATTTTTTTAAATTAATTATTTTATTTTTCGTTTGAATTTGCTTCTCCATTTTTGTTTTTACACATTTGATTTACTAAAAATTTCTTATTTTAGTTCGACCAGAACCTTGAAAACGCTGGTACAAGCAGCACATTCCCCTTTCTAAAAAATATCGCTCATATATCTGATCAATTACATTGTAATGAAGTGCCGCACCATTGTTTTCAAGTTCACATCATCGGTAAAGTGCAGGGTGCATGTAGATTTTTTTTTTTCAAACCTCACTAGTTCCGTATTCTTTCTCA